AAGTATTTGATCCCCTTCACAAAACATGACTTAATACTTGGTGGCAAATCCCTTGTTGGCAATCACAGAGGTCAGACGTTTCCTGTAGTTGGCCACCAGGTTTGCACACATCTCAGGAGGGATTTTGGCCCACTCCTCTTGGCAGATCCTCTCCAAGTCATTAAGGTTTGGTGGCTGACGTTTGGCAACTCGAACTTTCAGTTCCCTCCACAGATTTTCAATCGGATTAAGGTCTGGAGACTGGCTAGGCCACTCCAGGACCTTAATGTGCTTCTTCTTGAGCCACTCTGTTGCCTTGGCCGTGTGTTTTGGGTCATTGTGATGCTGGAACACCCATCCATAACACATTTTCATGCCCTGGCTGAGGGAAGAAGGTTCGCACCCAAGATTTGATGGTACATTGCCCCGTCCATCGTCCCTTTGATGCAGTGCAGTTGTCCTGTCCCCTTAGCAGAAAAACATCCCCAAAGCAGAATGTTTCCACCACCATGTTTGACAGTTGGGATGGTGTTCTTGGGGTCATAGGCAGCATTACTCCTTCTCCTCCAAACACGGCGAGTTGAGGCCAAAGAGCTCGATTATGGTCTCATCTGACCACAACACTTTCAACCAGTCCTCCTCTGCATCATTCAGATGTTCAGTGGCAGACTTCAGACGGGCCTGGACATGGGCTTTCTTGAGCAGAGGGACCTTGCGGGCACTGCAGGATTTCAGTCCTTGTCGGCGTAGTGTGTTACCAATTGTTTTCTTGGTGACTGTGGTCCCAGCTGCCTGGAGATCATTGACAAGATCCTCACGTGTAGGTCTGGGATGATTCCTCACTGTTCTCATGATCTTTGACACTCCACGAGGTGAGATCTTGCATGGTGCACCAGCCCTAGGGAGACTGACAGTTGTTTTGTGTTTCTTCCATTTGCAAATGATTGCACCAACTGTTGTCACCTTCTCACCAAGCTGCTTGGTGATAGTTTGGTAGCCCAGTCCAGCCTTGTGTAGGTCTACAACCTTGTCCCTGACATCCCTGGACAGCTCTTTGGTCTTTGCCATGGTGGAGAGTTTGGAATCTGATTGTTTGATTGCTCCTTTGGACAAGTGTCTTTTATACAGGTAACAAAATGAGATTAGCAGCACTCCCTTTAAGAGACTGCTTCTAATCTCAGCTTGTTACCTATATGAAAGACACCTGGTAGCCAGAAATCCTGCTGAATGATAGGGGATCAAATACTTATTTCCCATATAAATAAATAAAACACAAAGACTTATTGTGTAATACTAAAAATAAAATTAATCTAAATGAAAGAACGAAGTTTAAGTCCCCGCTTCCGTAGCATTGAAGTATACATACTTTAGATGACTGTTGTGTTCAGCATGAATAATGAGAAATAGAATGGGGGCCTTATTGATTTGCATCAAAACAAATGTATTACTCAGATTCAAACGGTCACCCTTCAAATGGTACTAACCAACATAAGGGCTCATGTAGAAAGGCAGGCATTCCTGTCAAACATTGTTTTTGATTGGAACATAGCAGGTTCAAATGCGTGCATTCAAATACAAAACCAGCATTTGTCAAGAAAGGGCTTTACCTGCTTTACCAGCAATCTAAATGCACCTCAGCACTACGGAGTTGATTTACTAAAGGCAAATAGACTTCCACTTTGAAAGTGCAGTTGCACTAATTTTTCCCCGGAGTTTAGTGAAAAGTGAATGTGGTGAAACTTCGCTTTGTAAAGAATACCCAGGTGCAATAAAAACAGCATTTTTTTCTTGCACATGATGGAAATCAAAAGCGCTTCACCACATTCACTAAGCTCTGGGGAAAATGAATGCGACTGCACAGTCTATTTGCCTTTAGTAAATCAACCCCAATGTGCAAATCAAAATCAGCGTCTTAACAGTCATATACACTACTCCATTGAAGTCAATGAAAGTCTGCTTACCAGCACTGGAAGTGCATTTCAAAAGCACAGCAATGCAGGAAAACAGCCATCTATGTGAGCCCCAATGGTAATCATTGACCAAGGGAAATACATTTATCTTAATTTGATATGGTCATAAGAGATCATTCGGATACATGCATGTAGCTATAGATATAAAATACTCTCTAGGCCTTTGGATTAGTTCTGGTCAAAGGCCAAAATTATCACATTTTTGAGCTGAGGAATTAACATGGGCCAGTGCTGTCTACAATGACATTAGAACATTCAAAAAACAAGAAGTCTGATCCAATATTAGAGGGTTGTGTACCCCAAAGACCACCTTAGAAAACAGCAGAACTTACATCTTTGATAAGGAGAGCGTGCAACATCACATCGGTAAGACCGTTGTCTTGAAGAGAGGAGAGAAGTGAGGGTTCTTGAAATACAAAAACTGTGACCACTTCAGTAGCTGAGGTGGGAAAAAAAGCGCACATAAAAAAACAAAATTAACACATTGCATTATACAGAACACAGACATGAACAAAAACAATGATGAGATAAAATTTTTACATTTGTGATTGAACTTACCCAGCAAGAAGAGGGAAGGTCCATAGTACTCAGCATTGCTGATAATGTGTTTCAGGGATGTGGGAAGGGTTCCATCCATTACTTATGATAGGGGGGAAAAAAAAGGTACTTATAAGCAACATAAAACAGTTTCTTACAGTGTGCCTATACTCAAAACTCCCTTCCCCCACCCCGTTTTGATAGAATGGAGAAAGATTAAAAACCCTGTAAGGTTTTATTACAATCTGGGGCTCTGCTGTGACAAATGTTGCTTCACTTTATGTCCAAGGGCAAACCTTCTATAATACAGGGAGATCTATAACGGAAGCAGACCACTGAAAGTTGACAGAAATTCCGGAATTCCCCTAATTAACATAAACAGGCAATTTTACTTCTGCCTGTGTTACTGTTAAAAAGTTTTTCCCTAACTTCCTCTCCTGGGAGTCAAATTTTCATCAGACAAGAAGTGACAACTTCGACAGGAGGATCAAATCTTTCAGCACTTTATACAAAACGCAACAAAAGAAATGTTGTGTGTATAGGTACACTTGAAAAGACAAGGAAGGTACCTACCATGCCGAATGCCATCTGAAAAAGCAGGATCTTGAATGGCTTTCTTCAAGAAGTTTAGCATAGATTTCAACAAGGCAGCTCTTTGGGGAATGCATTGCACACCTGGAAATCAAAATAAAGTAATTATTTGTATGGTAATGCAATTGCCACATTTTTACGACAATTGCCATTGCAATTAAAATGAGAAGGAAAAAAAAAAAAACACCTAAAACCTAAACACCCACTTCTCCCTGATTAATGATCATAACAGGCATTGCCAAAGATCCAGAACACACAGGTCTCAAATTCTTGTGAATTCTGCCATGCCTAACTACCAGTGATATGGTGATGAACTCCCCTTTCCCCAACTCCCACAGAAAGACACACAGTTTTCCTAAAATAGAATTAGGAATAAGCTATGCAGACTTTTTAGCTTCAAAACACTGCTTAGCTGAGTTTCTGAGTCTGAGACTTACCGGAACGTGGCATAACTATGCTCCCAGTGCTACTGCTTGTGGGTAAAGGTCGAGGTTCAGTAGAGGTGGAAGGCCCTGGACTGCTCTCCATGGCCACATCAGACACTGGAAGATATCATACAATTACTTAACACATCAAAATAACATGTCAAAAGTAACAGAAGGAGGGATGGATAAGAAAAGTATTCACATGGAGCAAGATAACCCCAAGACAAAAATATAGCAGGGGACTATTAAGTCTCAATGTATAAATGATTATTCTCACACAACTATTTCCATTTTCTTTTTCAATTACCTTCCATGTCTGTTTCCATCTCTTCCCCTTCCTGAACAGTAGCGGGGCGCTGGATTTTTGGTTTAATGACAAATGGGCACTCTTTCCTGCACAAGTCAACTTCATGCTAATTAGGAGAAGAAAAAAAAAAAGGAAAGCAAAATATGAGAGATAAGCCATGACACAGTATAATTTCCAAGAAATGCAAACATAGCATATTGTACAGAAATATGTGTGTTATAGACTAATATGTGCAAAATCATGAATCAAACACATACACATACATATATCCATAATGTTATTACAAGCAAAAACAAAAAAATATCAAAATGGCCAAATAAATCTGAATCAACGTGAGTCCACTTTATATCGCAAAGGCCATATAAACCAAATAAATCTCTGTGGATGAAAGAATACCAAACAATCCAACACCAATAACTACAAGGAGACATCGAGGTGATCCCACAACCAAGGATATGTATGCGCTTACCAAATAATTTTGACCCTCTAACCAGATAAGTAAAAAAGTATGTGTGTATCATGGACTCAACAAAAGCCTCCTTCTGCTTTAACCACTACCAGTCGGACACTTTTACCCCCTTCCTGACCAGGGCAATTTTCAGCTTTCAGCGCTATCACACTTTGAATGACAATTGTGCGGTCATGCAACACTGTACCCATATGAATTTTTTACCTTTTTTTTGAGACAGATAAAACTTTATTTTGGTGGTATTTATTTACCGCTGGGATTTTTATTTTTTTTGCTATGTAAATGAAAATGTCCCAAAATTTTGAAAAAAGTGTACTTCTTATAAAATTTTGCAAATAAATATTTCATCATAAATCTTGGCCAAAATTTATTCCATTATATTTTTAGTAAAAAAAAAAAAAAAAAAAAAAAAAGCCAAATTAGTTTATAACCAAAAATTATAATAATTTTTAAACTTTTTTTTACATCTATTTTTTTTTTTAAGATTTATTTTTTACATACTGTCACCCTAGCAGTACAGTGTCACCATGGAGACACTGTACTACTTTTGGGGGGGTGAAGATTTTTTTTTTTTTTTTTTTACACTGATTGCTTAAACATCCTATATGGGTGTAAAAGCGATCATTTCTCTTTTTCTCTGTCTGCATTCTTGCAGCCATTGAACACTGAGTGAGCTGTGATTGGTCACAGCTTGTCACATGGTATAAGGCTGTTGTGAATAGCCTTGTACCATGTGACCGCTGTGATCATTCACAGATTTCACACATAGTAAGCAATGATGTCAGAAGTGACATCTTGCTTACTACTTTGCATGTGATCACTGATTGGCTAATCAGTGATCACATGATCGGGACCTCGTAAAGCGGTCCCGTCCGATGATCGGTGTTTCACTGTGTCCCGGGGAGCGCGCACAAGCAGGGTGCGAGGAGGTCTTTTATAAACGGCCACCCGACCCTGCACTGCCACCGTCTGGCCGTTTATATACAACGGCCGGTCGGGAAGTGGTTAAGTCCAAGGGTCCAGTAACACTAGGATTTTTCAAAATGCAGGTGGAATCGCCACGATTCTGCGCACAATCTGAAAACATGCTGTAGAAGTGTGAAAACGTGCTATCGCTGCAAAAACACGCATTTTCACACTTTTACAGTGCGCTTTCAAATCACATCGATTCCACCCGCAATTTAAAAAACCCTAGTGTGAATGGAGCCTTATAGAAGGACCGACCAAATGGGAAGGGATCCAACAATGGGTTAATCCGATTTCTCTTCCATGGATACTCAAACGAAAGAAATATGCTCCACATGGTGTAAAACTTAATAAAAACAACTTTAATAAAAGAAGTATTGCACTTGTATTTACATATATAGAAATCGCATAAAACAAAATCCGTCTGGCATACAGAATCAGAAAAGCTCTGTCGCTTCCCGGTGCGAGGTGATGTAGCATATAAGCTCCTCCCTACGTCACATGTGACGTCTTCCCGTGTTGGATTATTTGGTATTCTTTCATCCACTGAGATTTATTTGGTTTATAGGGACTTTGCTATACAAGGTGGACTCACATTATTGACTTTGAACATTTGATTTCTTTTCTTTTTTGTTTATGCTTGTAAAAACATTTCCGGATATATGTATAAGTTTATAAGTACGTGATTCATGGCTTTACACATTATCTCTAACTGTGACGTATATTTCATGGTACTGTTGCTGCACTTAAACACTTTTTACTTTATACTTTCTTTGTATATTCACATAAACGCAGTATTAAGGTTTCTTTTATAGCTTATTGAATCCTGAAGCTGATATACTGTCCTATTAAAGCCCAACTGAAATTTCAGAGAAATAATACATATAAATCTGATCAGATTCTCTGTATATTCCCATTATTTTTCTTTGTAAAGCAGCTAAAGCAGCTGCAAAAAAAAAAAATTGTCCAACATTGTGCTGCTCTGTGTGGAAGCAGCAGTCTCTCTGCAGTGATCAATCACCTCCTGCCGAGACATGGCTAGGACAGAAAGAGGCGCTTACAACTACTTTTGTTCCCCTCCAGCCATCACTCTCAATCTAGGTTACCCCAGCCAGTGAAAACACCAAGTAGGAACCAGTAGGGAATATCAACTGATGTCACCCATAACAGTGGGAGTGTCCTGTTTGCCAGTGTCCCAACAACCTTTAAGAAGCAGTGTAACCTCATTAATAGAAATCTGTGTTCCTCAATTGCAGCTAAAAATGAAAATGTCCACTGTATTGTGTTATGTACGGCTTTAAAAGGGGTAAAATGTCCACATATTCTACCAGAACTTTATGGAGCAAAGTTTTTTTTTTTTTTTAGTTTTACTTTTTAAACACAATTACCTATGAAGGAAATATTTTCAACTTAACAACTGACCAAAATATGGATGTTGCAAAGTCTTATTTAAAAAAAAAAAAAAACTGGGCTGGGCAATGTTCTTACCTCCAAACGGTAAATAAATATGGACAGCCCACTGTGAGACTGAAAGGCTGCCATATCAAGGTTGGTAATGAGGTCCACAACCCTGACAGCACGCGTCACAAATGTGATCTGGTCCTGTTCGTCTCCTAGGAACTTTATCACCTAAGAAACATGAAGACAAAAAGGTAAAAACACAGTTCTTAGCAACACAGCAACTGCCAACATATTGGCGAGTTGCTGCCATGGTGACAACAGCAACTAAGATTACCATTTTAAAAAGAATTAAAGCACACAGATAATATACATTTCACCATGGCAATTTTAGAGTCTTTACCCTTCCGACTCCCAATTAAAGCCTTATCCTGACAAAAAACTAGCAGTGCATAAGCTCTTTGAACAAAAGATTTCCATAAAATTAGTAGCGAGGGAGGGTGGTAGGCGCATTGCAACCATCTTAAAAACCAAGACCACCTTTCCCAGTGAATCTCTTTCCACCTGCAATCTGTAAATAAAAACTGCTCCATACTGGGGAAGCATCGCCCTCTCTTCGTTTAAGAGCCATCAGCTGACATTGCGCGGCTAATGAACTTCAATCAATCAATGGTCACCACTGACAGCTTGGGTTGCCACAGACCAAGAACCACCAGAGTGGTACCCAAATATTCGTTATGTCAAATGACATTGTGATCACACACAGGAAGGAAGCATCCAAAAAATAGTTTAAGTTTCTTATCTTCCTGCTTTGTAAACACATCTTCTCTGGGTATTCATGTCTTGTTAAAATGTATAAGGACACATAAAAGGGCTAAAGAACACATGCAAATGTTTTGCAAAAAGTACCTTTAAAAGTGCTTCCATCATGCCACAGGAAACCAATGCCTCCCCACCAGCATCATAACTGGCTAGATGATACAAGAAGGAAAAGAGAGCTGTGGCAAATTGGTGAGGATATGGCTCCATGGTAGGGTCTGCAAAAACAAAGTCACAAAGGTCAAATAAATTATTGTATAAATTCAAACCATAAATTTAACGAAAGCTGAAAATGTATACAAACAATATTTACCAATAGTTATCAAACATACATTACACTGTAGGCCATTTTAAAGCACAGTTTTCATGAATGAATAGGCCAAAAAACAGGTACAAAAATCTCAGTAAAATGTCAGCGTAACCAGAAATAAAAACATTAAAAAAAAAGGAGAATGGGCTGGATCCACACTCTGGATGCGGTTACAAAGTCATGTTTATGCAGGACAAAACAGGTACCACTTAGACATAGCGGATGGTGAACTTAAGATCCCTGCCTTCCTAGCAAAGCACTAAAGTGAAGGTGGTAGTCAACATTCCTGTCTCCCAAGGTGCCAACCTAAGCCTCTGCAACTTATGTGTGCCCGATGTTCTGTTTGCAAACACTTTCTTCTGGACACATTTAAAAAATATTATAATACTAAAACTGATCAGCAACAAGGATAGGACTGCTGCATGAAACATCTTCAAAATTTTGTCAGTACTACACAAGAGCTAAAGCCGGCCATACACGGGTCAAATTCCGAAAAACTTTTCTAAGAATTTTCGTTCAAATTTTGCTCCATTAGTGGGTCACAAAAACATCCGATTTTCGTGAGACCATCGAATTTGAGTGATCGGGCAAAAACGAACAAATTTCGAATCAATGATGGGAGAATCGTGTGAGAAATATAAATGAAAAAGAAATGAGCATGAACTGTGATCAGGAAAGAAAAGAAAAATTCTTGGCCACAAATTATTTTCTGTAGCAACACGAGGTGAAATTGAAGGCTTGCTTGGTTGAATTTCAAAATCAATGGTGGCACCATTGGGTAACAAAAAGGCACAAAATTTCTGATTTTCTAAAGAAAATTCATTTGGATTTCAACCCATGTATGGCCTGCATAAGAGACAAGTAATTTAACAAAGTAACAATCAATAGACAGAACTTCTGTCCAACTCCAAATATTGTAGGAAAAGGACCAGTATACCAAAAAGTGACCTAGTTACAAATGGACCAAGTAAGCTCATGGACTCGGTTTTGGATATTCCTAGAGAAAACTCCTAAAAATGTTTCCAAACTGTGTTCATGCTCATCTGTGAAGACCAGGATATTTCCAGCAACCTCCTGTTATATCTGACATAGTGGGCAGTCCAGAACGAGAACCCAATAGAGCAACTAGCACAACTTTCCAGTATCAGCCAAAAAAGAAAAACTTAAAAATTATTCAGCAGTGACCCTTCAAAGATTATTTTCAGAAATATGTGCCATAACCACTACATGCAAGATTTACAACTCCTCTGGCATGCTAGAAGGGTTATATCAACCTACATTACAAATTTCTTTGAGCTTGTTTTTATTTATGTATCCCACACAAGTCGGCGAAGGACAATTGGTAAAATCTGACAAACTATATCCCTTTAAAACCAATATTCCACTTTTAGAACTATAAAAAGAAAGATGAAAAATCTCACCTATCATAGCCTGAATGCAGTTTCGGACTAGAACAGGCAGGAAGCCATGGTAAGAGGCAGTTCCAGTGCAATCTATGATGCTGCTTAGTTTGGGCGTTCTTTCCAGGTGTACTATAGAGGTCAATGTTCTTAGAGATGCAGCTTTTATATCCTACAAAAAACACACCTTATTAAAATCTGTACACAAACAGTGACTTGCACAAGTGTGTAGAATGTATTAACCACTTGCCCTCCAGAGGATTTACCCCCCTTCCTGACTAGGCCCTTTTTTGCGATATGGCGCTGCGTTATTTTATCTGAAAATTGCACGGTCAAGCAATGCTGCACCCAAATTAAATCTATGTCCTTTTTATTCCCCACACATAGAGCCCGTTTTCAGTGGTATTTGATCGCCACTGCGTTTATCTTTTGTGCTACAAACAAGGACTGACAATTTTGAAAAAATAAAAAATGTATATATATATATATTATATATATATATATATATATATATATATACTTTTTGCTATAACACCTATTTAGTAAAAAAAATTTAAGGAAAAAAAAAAAAATTTTTTTTTATCATAATTTAGGTCAAAATGTATTCTGCTACATGTCTTTGCTAAAAAAAAAAAACAAATACACGTAAATTCATTGATTTACGTGAACGTTATAGCGTCTACAAATGGCGGTATATATACTGAAATTTTTATTTATTTTTTTTACTAGTTATGGCGGCGATCGACTTCTAGCGGGACTACAACGGGGCATACTGACACTGGGGGGGGGGGGGGATGTCACTGACATCCCCAGTGACACGAATACAGTGATCAGTGCTAATAAGGAAGGGGTTAACATCTGGGGCGATGAAAGGGTTAAAGCGGAGTTCCACTCACTCTGTCAAAAAATAAAAGTCAGCAGCTACAAAAAAAAAAAAATCCCACGTTTTCCTGGCCGTCCTGCATTCCAGGCACTGGCATCTTCAGTGTGGGCACCCGGCTGTGACAGCTTGCGGCTTCACAGCCAGGTGCCCACTGCGCATGTGCG